GCGCCTGGATCGAAGAGAGTGCAAGCTTTTGAAGCAGAAGCAGAATGCACATCGCACACGAGAGCAAGAAGTGGCACTCGGGAACGGACTGCGCAGGTGGCATTGTTCCGCTGCCGAATGCGGCAAATGATGGTTACACTACAGCTGGGCTTCGAGCACCGAGTTGATGTGGAGTTTGTTGTGCGTCTGTGTGCCACATCTGATGCACGGCCCAAAAACCTGCTCTAACACTCACATCGTCCAGCGCTTTGTTTTCTCTCCCGCAGAAAGTCATGCCAAGTCCGTCGAAGGCAGGAGAAACCCTAGCTCGCACGGTCGTCCGACTTGCAAGCACACGGCGCACAATTGGAGCAGCAGCCATGAGCCATGTCGGCACTGTGTTCACATGCTCGAACAAGCAAACTCAAATCTTTCTGAGAATCTTCAGCATGTTCTCCAACAGATGTACAGGAGGCCCGTCGGCACTGCGAGCGATTAGACCACACTAGCCCTATTCCTGACGGCTTCGAACTGAGAAGGCCCCAAAGGATGCATGGCATGCAGTGCATCGGCAAAATGCCAGGCAAGCGCACATCGAGTTTTCAGCGCCTGTATTTGGCGGAAATACGTGTAGGGTCTTTGCCAGTCTTTGTCTATCTAACACGCACAAATGAGAAGGTAGTGGCATGTGCCACCATCCTCATGAAACACAGCCGAAAAGGCTGGGCTCTTTCAAAGGTGAACCATTTAAATCTAAAGCTCCTTTGCGCGACTCCACAGGATACGAGTCCTGTGGTGTCTTGCCGAATACCGCGCTCATTCCGGACAGCCCAGGCTGTCACGAGTTGCAACGCCCGTTTTGGGATTGACGCCCTTGGCGAGCGGGCAGATCATGTCCAGCTGATCTTTTCGAAAAGGCGTGTCAGTGAAGTCAGCACCGTTGATGCTCTTGAACTCAGGGAGTTCATGGATTCTTCGTTACGTGTCAGAAACACAGGACATGACATGAAAACACCCAGTCCAGCTCGAACAGTGACATGCACGACATACAGCCCATGCTGATGGCCTCCACGCCGGTCGCACTGTTCATGTACATTTCCGTCGCGACTGCATTGTCGAAGATGGCATTACGCAGCTTCGACAGCTCGAAGTTCGCCTTGCAACAAGCTATCTGCTGCATCTTTAAGCAAGAATGGCACTGGAAGCATCTAGAAGCTGCCTGGTTCAGGTTCGCCCCGGTGAAATCCGCATTCGTCATGTCCGCATCGAAGAAGCTTGCACTCTGGCAGTCAGTGTTGACAAACTTGGAGTCACGGACAGAGGATTGCTGGAAGGACACACCGACGATGCTCTGGCCGGAGTAGTCCGCTCCATTCAGGTTAACACCGCGAGTGATATTCTTCGCGGACCCGCTGTTCTTGCCTGTCGTTGAGGCCCCACCAGCCATGATCTTTGACGACACCGTGGCACTCTTGTCCGCACTCACAGGCTGCACCAGCATGCTGAGGCCCAGCAACACCGCGAGCACCTTCCAAACCGCAAGAGCAGAGCACGGCGTCTACGAGTGTGGGCTTGGCTTCTCAACTTGGGCAATCTTCGATTCTGCCGAGCAGCCGACAGCGCAGCACTCCTGGAAAGCGCCAGGTGCTCTTCCTGGATGTCTACGGAGGGGCCCCAGTCAACCCGAGGCCGAAGCCTGTTCAGGACCTCCTCTCTCGGCAAGCGCCCTGGCTGCAACCTGCTGCTTCCGGATCCACATGACTGCCGGGTGTGTCTCACCATGAAGATGTTGCAGCACTACTTACATCTGCCCACAGAATGCCACGGCACCAGGCAACGCTGCTGGAATAGCATACGAGGCCCAGCGTCACCTGGTATGACCCAACGGTGCCGAAAGCTCTGCACACAGTGCATCGAGGAAAGCTGACGCGGATCTGTGTGCTCTCCGACCAACGACAGCGAGCAGCCCTGCACTCCAAAACTATTCTATCAATGGAGTCTGACACCAGCTAAATGGTAGTTGATTGTTGGTGTGCCGTGCTCCACCGTGTGTAGGCGAGGGATGTGTCGCTACTGGTGACAGGGCACCATCAGCAGAAAGCACCATCTTCGGCTGCCGGAGGCCATCGCCGTCCTGTCGAGCTCTTCAGCGAAGTCTAGCTGCTAGCTTTGCGAGGATTGGGGACTTATCTCCAGAAGCCGAGCCTCGCCAGCTGCGAAGCCTTTTTCTGAAGCAAGCCTTCTTTTTGATCCAAAAGGAAGGAGAGATAAGGAGCAACTGCATCTCGGGCATAACCAGAGCTCCAAGACTTTCCTTTTCTCCCGGCGGTCAAGAGATCTCTTCCACATCGCCTGTGGGGATTTTTTTGCGTGTTCTACGAACTTGCTGAAGCTGGCGGAAGCCTTCGACCTTGACCTCGACCCTTGCATTGGCAAGTGACAGCATTCAGAATTCACTGTCTTTCCAGTACCGGCATGGCAGATACAGTGCGCATTACTAGTAGAATGATTTATGCAGAGGATGTGACCAAGGTTCAGTCTCTGTCAAGACGGTTTGGCGGCTACCTATGGCTACTTCAACATCTCAGACTTCATGGTAATGACTCTCTGCAAAAGTCAATTGCCCTTGTTTCCTTGGCTTGGTGCACTCTCGCAAAGCCCACGTATCCAATGTGCTCCAAAGAGCATGCTCGGGATTCTAGTACTGCTTCACCCTCGTATGACAACTTGTTGGGCATTTTGTTGAACGGCAACTTGCAGACCATTTCGGGTTGGAATCACTTTCCACGCTGTTGCGTCAAATCATTCAAAGTACACCTCGATTAAGGCAAACATGCAATGAACAGCAAACGAGCGCCTGGCAGGCCAATCCAAACCTGTACTCGCACACATTTACAGCCATTTACAGCTTCTTTAGACCTGCATATGGCGCGACAACTTGGAGACACAAGATCCAAGATAGCTCTGCGACGCTGAAAGGAGATCCGAGACTCCTTGCAGCCTAAAGTGCTACAGGTGCTTTGGGATACTCGTGGATTCGAGGATGCCTTGGGCTCCCTTTCGGCCCAAAAATAGCTTCTAGAGATCACCCTGCCACATAAGAAACTACCTAGGTCAACTGGGAACGATCAACCTGTCTGCAGAAAAAGTGAACCGAAATGAATGCATGGTTCGAATGCCTCGCCATTTCTGCTCCCTTGTGCAAGTGCGTCTTAGATCCTAGACATCGACATCAGCTCAGGCCGTAGTAGCCTCGGCTGGTTGGGTGAATGCTTCCGGGTGCATGAGGCTCAGTCGCACAACGACACAACAGGAACGCCAACAGGTCCGCTTGTTGCTGAGAAGTGCCGAGCAGCGGCACCTTCACTGCCCCAGAAAGGGGCTCCCTGGAGCTCTCTGACTTCTTGAAGTGCAGGAATGCCAGATAAACCAGCGAGGCCATCGATGCCCAGAGAGCCAACCAAGCCCAGAGGGGGATTGGGGCTTCTGCCTCGAGCGAAACCGGTGAGACCGGCCTGTAGGGAAACATGGCGATCTCTTTCCGGTTGAAGCTATGCACCGCGTAGACCTCAAGCTTGGTATCTCAGGAGCAGTCGGAATGAACTAGAGATGAGAGCCTAGACCTCCGGACACCACCAACCCTGATGCGAAGCTTTATTGCTTCCCTCCCTCTCCCTGCAGGCGTGCTTTCCTTTCAGGCCAGATACGCTACGCAGAAAGGAATCTCCCAAGATCCAGATGGGCTGATTCGAAGTCGACAAACCGGTCAGGCAGAAGTCCTGGCAAAGCCAAATGCAATATCTTCAAGGCTTGTTTAGGAATTTTAAACAAACCAACACGCGCCCTGAGAACTGCAAGACTGAATGCCATGGACGGCCGTCCTCACCATGGATTGTCGTCGCCTTCATGAACAACTCTGACATCTCCAGGCGGATGAGGTGCTCGTGGAAATAGATGTTTAGCGCCGTCGCCTCTGCTTCACTGCCGATATCTTCATTCGGTTTTGGAGAAAACTGGTGCCTGACAGCTTTTCGTTTCGGATAGCAGATGCCAAACCCGAGGATACGGTCTCTTGGCCCATGTCCCTGGCAAGAGCTCCGACGAATCCGTTTTCTAACGTGACGATGAGTCTTTGAATGCAGCAACGACTTTGGATGATCGGGTACTGGCTAGGCAGCAGTCCTTCAAGATGCCTGAAGACAAGTTGCGGAATCAGCCAGCGAACAGGGGCAGAGGAGCTCAACCCCCTCGTTCAAGAAGCACTCTTCCAACACGGCTGTCCCGAAGAGCCCGAGCGTCACTCTGACAAATTCGCCTCTCAGAACAGACATAGGTCAAACGGGGTGTGTGCTCAGAGAGCCACGAGCCTGCTGGGATGGAAATCAAAGACGTGCCGGTATCCAGGCACGCCAGCGCTGTTTGATCGTAGTTTCCCGCAGTGAGGACTTGCAGGAAGTACAGGATCAAGAAGATGACAACTCAGCATCACAGCAGAGTTGCTAGGTCGCCATCTCCGCGCGGCAACTAGGGCATGATTGTCAAGCAACTCCTTGCAATCGAAGTGATTCAAAGCATGACAACAGTATAGCTTTCTCAGCTCAGATTCAGAAATAGCTAAGGGCCCGCCTCAGCTGATACCAGGTAAGCTCATGCTGTGCGGAGAACATGCCTCTACAATTTCCATCCCAATCCCCAAGTTCAACTCCCACGTTGTGTGGCGAGCGTGTGCGTGGGTGCCGTTTTAGCAATCACTCAGTTCAGAACAGATAGTTGAATAAATGCGGACTCAGGGAATCACAAGGATGAATCTTACATGATACGAGTTTTCCTCCAGGCTCTCTCACAGCCTACATGATCTGATCCGAGGTCCACATGCACCCGACCAGCCAAGATGCGCCAGGCAGTACCGTTGTCCCAAAGACCGAAGGCTGAACAAGCCTGCAGCGATACACCGAAGGGCTACAAGGCTCGCACGCAGTCGTAGTTCAACGCGATATCTTGCACTGGTGGTGGGAGTCATCTGAAGTGTTATGATAATGACCATACTCCTCCTTCTGTTGCCGCTCTTGTCTTGACTCTTTCCATTCACGACCATGGCTACTACGACTACGCCTACGCCACCGCCTGCGCCTACGACTGCGACTTCGACCACGACCACGACTCCACGACCTACGACGACGACGACTACTGCCACGACTGCTGCTGCTGCTGCTGCTACTACTACTACTACTACCCCCACTACTACT